CCAGGTTGTAGTTGTAGGTGACATAACGTCTGCATTGCTGGCAAATGGGATACGGCAATTCGGAAGGTTCGAATACTAGACATTGAAGCATCGCAATGGCCTGAGCTGCAGCTTCGTAGAATACAGCACGGTTTTTCTCGCCACAAACAACTCAAATTACATTTTGGGCGGACTGTGACTTTGGACAGTTTTATTCGTCGATATACGCATTGCTACCTGTCGATAGTGCAGTACAAATTGGTCATCTCTAGCGAGGATCAATTTGTAAACACATCTAACACAAGTCTGTCCGCCTTTTCCATTTCAAAGTCTCTCGATGTTCTTGTTGACAAAGTGGAAAGTGGAAAAAGTCCGTCAAATCTGAGTGTGTAAGTCAAGTCGCGCCGCGTCCATGTTGCTCAGGGTATACGAGAGAGAAGGATTCGAATCTTTTTATTGCTTTCTGTGGTATCAACCATTCGTAAATTTATATTAGAGCCTTAACGACCATTACTGAAATAATGAAGCTGCAAGTTGTTTGTGACAATAATGCTTACAAACGCAAAGAATTTCGACAAGACAAGTGGGTACAAAATCATCATCACTGCTTTTGCTTGTAACCATGGTACATCGGCAACGCGAGCTGTCGTCCCGGTCACAGTTGATCCCTGGCCTTCGAGCACAAGAATATTATCCTTTTACTTGCACGCTTAAAATCATCTTTACTTCTGACTTTGCTTGATAGTTCCTTCTAAGTTAACTACAGATCGTTCGACAATGTGCAGATGGATCGCAAAACTGAGCACGAATAGCTGTCAGTGTATCCGTTTTCTGCTTGTTTTCTTCGAACTTCTCGTTTGCAGTATTTACAATCCACCAGAGATACTCTTTATTTACGAGCAAATGTTCTGCACTCTTTCTGAGGATCCGTTTGCCGCTGTACGAATGACACACATCATCTTTCAATTAATTGCATTCCCGGAAGTAAAAAAGTATGCACATAGAAAATTGGTGTACTATACTTAGCTTATGGTCTGTGGTGTCACAATCAGGAAACATCCTCATTCGCGCATGATCGCCTTGTCCTAATTCACAAGTCCCTATAAAGACATCCTTATCGCGCGTTTCATGTGACCACGGAAGCCCATTTCTAGCACTAATTAACTACCGTCACAACACAGGGAGGTAAATATACGTTACTTGGAAATCTATATGTTCAAATGAAATACCGCGCAATGCTCACAGCTAGAGACCCAATAAGGAATGTGTAGCTTATGCTACCTACAATTGCGAGTGGAAGAACTTTCCCGGTAAGAATGCTAGAATTAATAAAGTTAATTGCTTCATATGATATCTAAAGTGGCTCGTGCTGATAGCCCTCTGGCAGGAAAATTCTCTGTCCGTACGGTTCATCTGAAGATCCGCGTACATCTTTGCGCCTGCACTACCAAATGTGGTGTTGTGTTAGGTTTACACTGCTGAATGCATGTAAATGACGTCACAAGGATTACGGTCATACAATTACTACCATGATTAGGATGCTGATTACGGACATAATGGTAGTCGTTCATTGGTTTAGATAAATAAGGTTACATTGAGAAGCTTTTTGGAGGGATCTAAAAGACAGGCTTAAAGGTGGCACAGAGTAGCGAACTAAGGACCTAAATTTATTCACTTCGGTTTTTGCCATTATCTCGACGCGTCTTAACATGAGGAAGGTTAGAAACATGATTGCCTTTGAGCGAATACGCGTGAATGTTTTAACCTGATATGGTGTTTGACTTGAAGATTCTCGACCGAGAACTTAATGGAATTTGTGCAAAAAGTGTACAACTTTGGCTCGCAGTAGCTTGCTCAGTCACCCATTTGCAGCCATAACAATTATACAAAGGTACAAATCACGGAGCGGCAAAGCCACAGTGTAACGAGTTACGAGTACACTAATGTCACTATTGTCCCCCAATTAAAACCAAAGCTCGAAAGTACCAGGCTACTAAAGTAACGAGTACTCCGTAAGAAGACGTCCGTGGCTGCAAGGCTCATGCTATGGCTTATTATGGAAGAGCCTTATTCAGTATATATGACACTTCTTGAATTGAGAATCAACATTTATACACGATAACTTGAGAGGCTCTCGGTTTTGCTCCTTTGTGCATTGGATAATACGAACTCGTGGAGCAAAACATCATTTGTGCAACGTCTCGCAGCCCTGTGGCGCTTGTCGCCAATTCGGTGACTGTACATTGTATTGTTTGGTAGGATGGAGTATCCTATTCGATTATCAGTTGTCGAGACATTCAGAGACGCTTATGCTCATACGACTCCTCAGAAATAAAGCTCAGCCCGTGAGGAATAATACCAAGTTAATGAGATATCATGACTAGATTTCGGTACGGACGTGAGTGATGGGACTCCATAAAAGCAGGTTCTTGGTTAGAACTTCAACTTATAGAAACAAATTATCGAATATTTGAGCGAAGCAGTATTGCTTATTTGAAATACTCTTTGTTGAGGGTCTCCTGGCGGCCAGGAGCTCTATTTTCTGTGCTTTGGCTAGGGCAAGCCCGGGAGTAAAAAAATCCTCTGCGTGTTGCGCGGGGCGAACGAGTGACAGTTGCATCCCGTGACACATAACACACGTGCGCACATATGTATGAATTATAGATCACAGTACATGAAGCTAACTGCGCCTTATGCTTTTTTCTTTATCGAGATATTCTTACGGAAGATCAGGTGTCTAATACAGACGTATTTTTCAAAGTCGGTAGATTCACAAATTGCGCGTGTGTGTATTAGCAATTCCAATCTGTAAGGAAGCAAATATAAAATATAGGAATAGCGGTGTAAAGAGTTTGCAAACTATCAAGTCAAGCGAAATATGACGTCCAAAACTCTTGTTTCCCTAGCTTTCAAAAGTGCAACACATGCTGGGTACGCCGAACGATTTTTGCCTTAGACTTTACTTTGCATTTAAAGTTACACAAGTTGACATAAACATGTCATTGCGTTTGAAACTCATCGGTCTAATTCTACATAGTAAGACGATGCAGCTAACGACATTGAATCACCTCTTATCCAGTATTTTCTCTCCAAGTATGATGAACATTTCCTGGCGTAAAAGCCATTTTTCGCTCTACATTTTGTATCAACACGCAGAGTATCATCGTCGCCATGCTCCTCTTACACAGGAGCACGATTTTTTCTTTATTTCGTCGCAGAAAACACTGTTGAGTTATGTACAAGCCTGGTCGGCTTAATAGGGTCGAGGGCGCGATTGTTCGACGCTTTTGGTTCGGAAGGGCCGGAGAAAGGGCGCGCGAGAGAGCTATTCAACAGCCTTGAAAGACGCGTTTTCCGACGCAGCACAACACCATATATGATCCTTTTTAAAAACATTGGTTAGGCTTTGTGGTATGTTAAGTATACTTTGCACTATATCTGTAGAGGTAAATGGGATAATCAAGCCACATGCTTAGATCAATTTGGGAATCAAGACACTTTCAATCTACTATGGCCATGATCGGTGCGCGATTTTTGGAGGATAATGCCTCTAAATGCATCGTCTTGAAAATGCAATTTTATCAGCAATAAAGGCGAAATTGTCTACATTGATCAGCAGCTTTTTAAGCGCAGACTCTAGAACACAGCCCGTAATATTTTAATATGGGTGTCGATATCCTGGACAAAAAAGTCGTCAAAGCAAATCTGTGCGTATATATTGTGCGGACTAAAAGCTGCGCTACAAGGAGGTTTAGCGATGCTTGGACGTTTGAAATTTTGTGAGGGCATAAGCGGCCATTTTAAGAGCATCCCACTTAGAATGCCCCATGGCCATAACACCACAACACACTAAAGGATTCAATCCAAGGTGTTTAAAAGCGCCTACGCCCACACCATGGCAGTGAGAGAAACACCGCTTAGTCACTTAAAAATTAGTTTTTTCCATCGAGTGAAAACTTTACAAGGTGCACCCAACTATCAAAGTTTTCCAAGAAATTGCCTTTTGCGCCGTAACGTTGACCTCATTCAATTACTTAAAAACATGCACAACTTCCACTTGTCATTTCCCGTCCGGACACATATCGGCAACATCAAGTGGGGAATTTTTTTAGAGCAGATTCACTTCGTGCTTTCGAAGTTGAATGGTATTTATAACATCGCGTTGATCCCTTCAAAGTAAAGAGCATTGTTGCCCTGTCACAATTTTTTTGGCTTGACGAATCGGGCAGATCTCCTAAATCTGAAGGCAACACCTGAGGCGGATCTTTTATCACCATGTCATGGTATCCCTCAAGCAAATGGCACGTTGAAATTTTGAAACAGCTGATCAACCTTTCGCATCCAGTATGCTCGTACGACGGACATTTCATAACAGATAATGAGCTCAGCCCCCCCCCTCCGGTCAGCTCGACGATACCACCTTCCGACAAAATCTTGCATCCCTGTATATAATCAAGTCTCTCCAGACCCAAATCATTCACGGCTTATAGTAACTGCTCATACAATTTTCGGAACTTTGCTATGTGTTGCTGACTTGGCTGCACCTCTACGCCGTGACAAAGACGCGCTGTCCTTAGGAACATCAGTGCCTCATTGCCTTTCTCCATCGGGGTGTACGCTGTAGACCACGACATTGAACCGCTCGATTCGTCAGAGACAACATACGGTCGCATTCTTCGTCTCAACAGATGGGACCCCATTTTCCTACTGTCCTTAACTGTCTCGAGAGGGTTCACCCCTGAAGCACACAACATAAGACCAGTTTTGTCGCTCCAAGTGAGGCTCAAAATTGCAATTTTTGGACGACTTTTGCAAAAGGTCATGTCGATAGTGCTGCCATTTTCCCATGTTATTGTATTAGAGCTGTTACAGCTTTAAACCCGTGCGAGCCGCGTGTCTGCTTCTAGCAGTTGTAAATTCATGACTCACTATAGATACAAAAAGGAAGCAGTACATAGCACATAATGTCTTAAACTCTCAGTCAATCTATCGCTCGTAGGCCAAACCTAGAATGTGGTTGCCCCTAAATCTAGGTCTAATACAAAAAAGGGTTTTCACGCTATCTGCTATAATTAAGATGAATCAGCGACACCATAGTCAATGTCTTCGACACGAGACGCATGGGCATTGTGTATGCGAGTGGGCGTCACGCACTTTGCAAGATGGAAGAGTTGAGACAGCACTAGCAAACGCACAGCGGTTGCATTCGTACGTTTTACCTAGAAGCAGACTTTAAAAGCCTCTGCAGTCACTATTCCCGTAGATTGCTCCGCTAGTTCATAGGTGAAAAATATATATGGTTACTTTGAATGACACTCATTCTAAGTATGTGGGTTTCACCATATATCGTAATAAAGTTAACTTTTTCCTTGACATGCGTCTAGTTGCCCGCATCTACCGCGGACGTCATTTACGGATCCCAATATTCCAATTATTTGGTCCTTTTGAATGCACTTCCCCGTGCGAGCTTGTACAATTAGCAAAGCATATTTTGCACAACTGTACGAAACTGAAGTGTTAATGTATACAGTTGTACGGTCTTCACCTTGTTACACCCTTATTCACCAATACGAGCACAATACTAGGACTCATGATTTTTAGACACGGTACAGAAGGGAACGCACGATGAGTAACACTACGCTTGAGATCTAACTTCACTATACACTATACGGTACCTGCTCCGAGAGCATATTACACATCCCGTGCTCAAGAGTGACGTCACTTGACTTAGGACCGTGAGGTTTTTACTTCGATACACATAGGAACCGAACTTAGGCAGACGGAGACAAGCCACTCACATGGATCAATAACACCAAAAAAGTGTGTCTGTCCTGCCAACCCACACTCGAATGGGTGTGCAATAGTGAGGCTCCAAGGACCGAAAAAAAAAGTATTGTAATGAGAGTTACGACACCCGATCCCAAAAGGAGTCGAATAGTTAATAGCCTCTCAGCTGGAGAAAGCTCACTCCTAGCGTGTGGGTTCCGGTAGGTTAAGGCTTTCTAAGAGCAGATTGGCACCGAGAGACCCCTCCCATGCAGGTCATCACATGGCTCCGCTATCTGCTATAAAAGTCGCGGTACTCGCGACCAACATCGTAATGTCATACTAGGTGAGAAGACCGATGTGTCTCTGGTGATACTGTTCCAGCGACTCTTCAAGCTTAAAAGCCAACACCTCCCATCTCACGTGGAGCCATAAGACCGAGCTGCTTACCAAATGTAGAAAAGAGCCAGCTCCACCCGCCTGCTCTCTGTAAGCTGCAAGGTAAGGACTTCCGCCATAAACTCACAACGATGTTGAATTTATCAAATAAAAGCCGATTTGGCTCAATGGAATCAGCGTTCCTGTTTGCAAGAGCAAGAATTATACAAACATCTGCCAATTTCGTCACGTTATGACTATGATTTCAACCATCCAGTGTTACAAGACGCGCTGAAGCGAAGCTCTTCCATTTCTGTGCGTGCAAGCTTCTCATTCACCCCAAGCAAAAAACGAGCGGGTTTTTGGCGCTGCAGATTTTCACTACTCATGTTTATCGTCTGCACTATCAGCAGCACCGGTTGGGAAAAACCTACAAATCGTGATAAGCATACCTTCGGTCATGAATGCTGGCCAGACTGCCGCAGCCTCCATACTACATTTGTGTCTTGGGCACGAGAAATACGCCGCCGTCACTTCCGTCTCAACACTTTGTAATTTCGTGATTTAGTGAAGTAGGCGCTTGACTAAAGCGTCGATAAATGCGTAGCCTTGTAAAGTACGAAGCACGTCGAAATGGAATCCATCATTTCCAGCTGCTACTGTTATCTACTACGCTCGTCCTCATGAGACAGCACCACAGCTACAGGCCAAGCGCTTGATTTAAAACAAGTAAGGTCTCCTTTCGCTGATGGGATGCGCGCTCCAGTGGGCGACACTGTAATCGGATTATCGTGATTTTACAGAATGAAGTAATCCCTCACCCCTTGCTCATGCACCAACCCCACTGGAGATCTCCTGTCCCGCGGTTGGCTCTAGTGGTCTACCTAGGATATGGCGGCTTGCTGTCTCTCATCACGTGTCTCACCATGCATCCAAAGTAAAATAAAACAGAACTGGGGATTTTCTCTCTAAGGAATCTCTAACAGGCAGCGAGATGAGATATTTTGCTAAGATGATCTACATAGTCCGGAATGCCACTGCTATTGAAGGAGTCTTTTGGAAAATCAAAAATAGCGTCTATACGTATTGATAGCCAGCTGGCATCAGCGACGTACCAAAAGCGTTGACGCATGCGGTAAGAGCTAAAATCGTTGATAGGCGCACACATGTGAGCGGATTCATCACTTTATAGCAGTCGTCGAGCAATACGTTTTTCTTTCTTTAGAGACGGCCTAAGTGATCCTTGAAAACAGTATTCTGTAATTGACGTCCTCATCATGAGACTTCACCAGACGTTGGAAGTCATGTGGATCAGCGCTGAAATGCAGCAAGCCTAGAATAAGGATTATAGGTGCAATGCGCAACCGCGCGTTTCAACAATGCACAATCAGAGTCCTAAGACTTTATTGACATGTATCTTGTTGTGTATACCCCGTAAGCTGTACGTGACATCTTGCTAATTGTTGACGTTACCGCCGTCAATGCAACAATGTATAGCCGGACGACCCCAAAGCACTTCCACTTCCACATTATGCCAGTCCGGATTATACCTTATCTGAACAATACCGGGCGGCAAAAGCTGATTCATCTTGCCATCTTTTTTAAGAGATACCCTGACGACAGCGCTCAACGACGCGAGAATTGTATTGCAACTAACGGGATGAGAGCCAAGCAGGTGAGCTTTAAGCAAGAGCGGCGAAGACGCACTTGCTGCAAGTTGCTTCTTGTCTTGATTAAGTTAGCATGACTCACACATTCATAAACATTGAAATTTGTTTGGAGTAAAGCACAAATTAAAGCAAAGCGCCACCAATATCATGGAATATTAGATCTGGATTCGGGAAAGCCGGAATCGGGCCACGACAGATCATTTATATAAAAGGCTTGAAGTCCGTCTCTTTTGTCGCACCCCAGGACCACTAGACATTCTTTGAAAGCGATATCAAATTGTTAAATGTTCGTCATGTTGGCATAGTTTGCTTTAATCGAGTTAAGTCATTGGCCAGACCAAGGTACTACCTCAAGTCAGAGGCACGGACCACCTGAAAATTAGATTGGTTTTTGCGCGATCCGCACATCAGTCATTCATGAATGTAGTCATGTCAGCTTAAAGAAAGTGTTTTCTATTTACCGCCAGATAGTGTAAAATGTTGTTCTGCACTTCCAAATCACCTCATTATGCACGATAATGTCTGAATATATCGTCGAAATAGGTCTGCACATATCTACAATGTGACCCAAGTAGTGATGTCACCATACGAATAAACGTCGCTAATGCAGCAGAACGTCTCTCTGGTACATCAAGCCATTTGCAGAGTATCACGCTCGCAATACTCATTGCAGTAAGAGGGATATCGCTGTTTCTCTTGAACAAGCGTTAGTAGCCACCAATCACACGAAGAGTATGCAATTGGACATGCTGTTCTACAGCACACCTAGCTTAAGTCATGACAATCGTATCATTATTTTATTGGGACCTCGCTCGTCAAAGTACGTACAACTTGCCGAAAGACTGTTTATACAAAACGTCGCCGCAGGGCAGAGTGATGAACACCATCTTACCGATGCCCTCTTCTTGCTTCACACGGAGGAATGCTACCATGACGCTACAATATTCCCAAGTTGAGTGTCAGTGTCTTGTGACATATTATCAGGTCCTGAATATTGCGTACCCTAAGATCACGGGGGGGCGTGGTGGGTCTTTTGTCACCATGTCGTGATATATTTACAACAATTATGGAAAGATAACCCATAGGATTCCTGATAAAAGCTGTATCACTTCTTGACGTCAGTACTCTGCGAGTGCCTTCAATAACATCGCTACTCCGCATGGTAGCACGTCATAAGGTACTATCACATCGTGCCAGGGATAGATCAATTCTCTTCACTATTGTAATCTAATTGCACCCTTCAAGGCAACCGGCTTAGGCAGGGGAGACTGCGACACTTACTTACTTCTACTCGCCATCCACATGCTGGCAGAAGGGAAAATCTGCTTATAGCACTAATTTACCGTTCCACAAGATACACGCTCAGTGGGGTAGCCTTTCCTTCCAATCTCAACAGACATACACACCGAAGACCATGATATACAATCGCATATTCTTCTCAATTCGAGACAGCGGCGCATTCCCGTTGCTGGCTTCCAAGCTACACTACAAGCACTTAGCAATATCGTCCAAAAATCATTTTTTTCTTGCACAGATAATTTCAATTAATAAAAACTTAGGTTTAGGTCTAGCTTAGCGCTGTACTCACGTCAAAAGCGCTTCTGCTTCAATTTTATGATTCATAGAGCTTCATGAGAAGCGTGCGTGATACTAATTTCGTCAACTTCTGGATGTTCAAAGGCTCGTGGCGACTCTGCCTTGTCATACCTAAGAGTCGAAACAGGGCCTTTAATACTCTTGCTGATATCCCGTCGTAAACACATGGATAACCTTCCGTATTTGATATCGTACGGTGTACACATACAATAATTCTCTTCTTACCCCAATCAAGCTCTCGTAATTATCATACTTGATGCGCTAGAACTTTGCTCACTATTTCCAACTGTTGTGCGTCGCACATCAGTGCACGACGCTTCTAAGTCTTTCAGGGATCTTCAGGGCTTTACATAGCCCAGTACGATGATATCAAAAAACCAAAACATGAGAAATGTTAGCGCCACACATCTTAGCCAAAATTGCTTTTTTGGCCTTGACCTCTACGACGTACAACAAAAGCATCGCTGGGAAAATTGTCCTGCCTAGTGGTACCTTAAAAAAACTCTTGCAGTTGGCTCTACGCCTTAATCGACCCCAGTAAATCAAAGGTTGTGGTGTTGTATCTGAATTAGTTTTTTCTGTTTCCTCATTCGAAGCTGGATGTGCGCAGATGCTCACGATACAAACCACATCTGTCTATGAATATGGTAAGGAGCAGTTACTTCGATGCCTCTGCGTAATGTCAACGGCAAATGACAGTCGTGTAGCGTACGTAATTGCACGGCGCTCATGAATTGATCAGAAATTTTCATGACCTCACAATTCCCGCGGCGATAATGTTAGCAATCAGTGACGCCGAGCTGTGAGCCTCACCTAACTATAAGCGTTTCGCTTCTGTTAGGGCGTATTTTCACTGATTATGACCTCGACGACTTACATAAAACCCAGATCTATTCCAGAAAGGCCCAACTGAAATTGGACATTTTCTCGCGATGGGGTTGTGGGACGTCCTTGCGCTAAAATTCGACCCTTCGTGCCACACAGCCGAAAGAGAAGGAGAGGCGCAAGGTGCGGATGTTTTGTATTACCACTGGAAAGACAGCTGCAAAAATCTCGGAGTAGCTCGGCGGCCAAGAAATTGCTTATCTTCACCCCGTAATGAATAATGATCATCGCCTCTGGTACGCTCGTATGACCTTAGCTTCTGTTACTCCATCGAGATCTTGCGCGCGGAATTTTTTTCTACATTCCCTGCAATACCCGGTGTTCTTTGTGAAAGATGTGGAAGACGCTGAAGGCCTCGGTTCGAGCTTGTTGAGTAGAAGGTAACAACCGAAGCCAATATATCCTTAGTTTGCTACTCTGTGCTACCTCTAAGCCTGTCTTTCTAGATCCTTCTAGAAGCTTCTATAAGCATCCTGATTTATCTAGACCAATGAACGCCAACCATTATGTAACTACTTACTGTGACGTGCTCGTATATATGGTGACGTCATCTGCATGTTTCACATGCATTCAGCGGTGTAATCCCAACAGAGCTACAACCGTTTTTGCGACCCTTCATGAAGATAATAGCTGTTTTCCACTTCAGGGTAGGAGTTGAAGTCAATACAGCGATAAGAGATTAATGCCCTGGAAAAAGTTGCTATTCTCGCTTTATTCGAAAAACGACTTTAATTTACTTTGTTAGGCAATGCTGCCCGACAACTTCCAAATTTGAGACAGCATTTACCATAAAGCCACAGGACGTTGGTTTCTATACTTGCGCTTGGCCTTTTAGTTTAAAGCCTCCAAGCGCGAAGCGCTGTTGCACCATGGTAAAACATAGTTCAATCTAAACTATCTCGGCCCCCCTTGTCCAAAAAATATAATTTTGCTTCGATCTCAAAAAGGGCTGCCGGCATCCCTGCTAGAAAACTGTTAAATTGTTGGATATGTCCAATATCTCTTTATCTTGACAGAAATGTTATTGCTCTGACCACACGCAATAAGTCTGGTTAGGTGGTACGAGGATTTCCGACATAGTCTTTACCAAAATGGGAATACCTTGTTTTAAGAAAAACTGCAACTTTTGCACGCGGCATTCTAGCTCGGAGATCTCGAGAGCAAAATTCTATTGCTCAATCTAGCATGAAGTATTAGCAAATATACACGTTTACTGTCTAAAGGATCTCAATTGATCAACTCTTTATGCGAAGCTAGCAGCTCCGTTGCAAGGAGTGTTCAAGCTTTCGAGTTGGCAGCTTTGTCTGCGTTGGAGGCTGGATTTCGCTAGCTTTTGAAGGAGTTGATTCTCCTTTTGACAAGCTCGATTGCACGTTTTCTTTGTGGATGTATTCAAAAAGTCGACTTATGTACAATTTACGATATTTGCAATTTTTGCAATTTTTGTTGTTTTATTGGGAACTAAACATCTGGTTTTTACAAAATTATCCTAGAAGGGGTCCGCGGTACGCCTGGGATCAAATTCTGAGATTTGGTAAAATGTACAATTTAGTGTTTGTGTAAAGGAATGTTATCCTAGAAATATGTTGCTTTTGTAATAGCAAAGCCAATTGTTACTTTCTCCCCCGAATGGATAAGGTGTAAAGATCCAACATCTGTAATTTCGAAAAACGCAGTCTATTGAGTTTCTCTTGTGTAAAATTAAAGATACACCCGTTGCGCATGGTAGCCCATGTAGTAAATCTTACGACTAAGTCGGAAAAACAGTGTTTCCTCTGTGAGGATGAAAACGAGATATTTGAATTCCTGGTTATCAGAAAACTTGACCCACTTCAAAATTTTATGTCTATTGCTGGTCTCACAGAGTCGAAAAACTGACAGCTGCGAAATACGACAGTCTGATGGTGTGAATCAGCTAAAAGAATGCGCTGGTAAGACATGACCAGACACGCCTCAACTGGGCGTCAAATAGAAATCAGATGGCTCCACCGTGGGGCACTGATGTTGAATATCTGCCCTTTAAAGCGGAGTGTGCATATAAGGTGGGCTTATCTATAAAAATTATAAAACCTATTGCTCTATAAAAACAGTGTATCGCAGTAGCTGCTTTTGCATATTTGTGCTTCTTGCGGTGAACATGTTATTTTAAAAAGTAGGGGTTTCTCTGACCCAGCTAGTTCTCTAAAAGTCACACGCAACGCTATTGCTACACAAATCTTGAATAGTACGAACATTCTCTCAAGAATGTGATGATGCACATTCAGTCCCCTACGATAAAATTCAAGTAGAAATCGATTACACTACAGCAAACTGTGAACCTCGAACATAGTTCTAATACCTCATAATACCGATCCTGTGGTGCAGTGGTATGATGTTCACTTCAGAACCGGGAGGTCCAGGGTTCAATCCCCGGGCCGGGTAGAGAGGGGTTCGAGTGTAATGAATAAAACCCTTCAGAACGTGCTTCACATGGCTTACACGACTCCTAAAAAGGGGTGTCGTTCCTAATCATATCTAATACCTCATGCTGGTTAGTACTGCGATAAGCAATAATGTAGTATATGGTGTCAAGTGTTGCCTCACTCAATCAATTAATTGATCTCCAAGATTTGTAATACCTGGAAACTTGGGGTCGAAATCTTTTTCAATGCATAAAACAGGCCTAAACCATATTTATCATAGCGCAAAACTTCTAACTTAAAATAAATTTAAGCAGCAAATTTAAAATCTAAGAAAACCGCGTTTTTTGTCGAAAATGTCATCAGAACCGAACTCTAGTGTATAGGCCCGCGATCTCACATTTTCTCAGAAACTTGATATTTCAATTGACTTTCCAACGATCCATCCATGTACACATGAAAATAAAACCTGCTTATCTTCGGCCAACGTCGATTTTATACTGGTCGAAAGTTAAAGTCTATACTTAACAAATGCTTCGATTATCCAGTAATTTGTCGAGCCAACGTATCAACGCAGACAGGCTCCTCTAGGTTTTATCTTTGCTTGTATAAGCGCTTAAAATTCCGGAATCTCTTGGCCGACCTGCTGTGATGCTTAAGTCTATAAACATTCTATAAACCTGCATCAACGCTGCTGAAAACTACTATACAAACACTGCTATCCTACCAGTAATTATCTGGATGATGACTGGAAGCTCGATTTTTTTGCGATCTCTACGGATTTGAAAACCCTGTGAGCCACAAACTACCATGTTTGACACTGAAAGTTTAAGTAAATACCTTAATTTGCGAGCTGGCGCAACGAGACCTTAAGGCACACTACGTTGCATATATTACGACAGGTAGAATATTCGGTACGATAGCTCGAAACTGTGTGTGCATTGCTTGCTAGTCAGCCTTACCCCATAGCCAATCAGATTAAAACGGCTTTTTCATAAAGATACCAGCGGTACTGTGTAAGAGTTGACTGTGAACTTAGCACCCAAAATTTAGACGTTATCCGCCCGCAAATCCTCTCGCAGATCAAGTTTCTTTGTATCAAAGTAGCCCCGGTCTCTATTCTCAGTTAATAGACACTTCCGTCCTTAAGGGAATGAGAGGAAGACTCACACGTTCATGTTTGCGTGGCGCCTTGACGAGAATGGAAAAGGCGACGAATTTCTATTGTTGTTGAAGAGACTACGATGGCCATGGTGAGACAACTTGAGTTGCCACCAGTACTATATGATGCGACGTTCAAGATTGATTCATAGGCTATCCTCTAAAATTGGCTAGCTTCTCTGATTGAAGACACAATTGTGAGGTGACTGTGATATCTGTCATCTCACAACATCTGCATCCGTTGTCGAGACCCTTCCGTTTGAGAAAAACGAGTCCCTCTTACAAGCGACTTTTGCATCTGTATGTGATGTAAGATTCCGATTAAGTACAGCACAATGCCATTATGTCGTTTCCAGCCGCAATTCTAGCCTGCAGTTTTTAATGTGTATCTTCACGTCATGTAAAACAAAGCAGACATTTTTTCTTTCTCGCGTCGCATGCGTCCGTATTTTGCGCGGAATCAACTGAGCCTTTTTTTGGACATTTGACGCTTTTTTTGAGCTGTAACTTGTTACTTTATTTTTTGGTAGTGCTGCTTAATGCCTGGTGTTTTTTCACTACGACCCATTACAGCAGATACCTAACTGGATCTTAAAGCCGAATTGTTAATTGACACGATGTTGAGGCAGAATTGTTACATGCTGAGATGTAATTTGAAAATGGACGACCTTTGAAAGTAGTTGAACGATCTTGGAGGAAATAGATTGCGTCGCACCAGAGCAATTCGTACGAGAGTTGGAGTTTCTCTAATGCTGACTAATTGAGTGAGCGAGCTTCATTGCAAAGCGGTGCTTTTGCGTGACAGAGGCCGATATTCCTGTTGGATACTCTGGCCTCAGAAATGTTATGACATACTAGGTCAAGCGCGTCATAGTGGTAGGAGCAAGTCGATCTATAAAGAGCAAATTGTAGCTTCAGCTTCAATAAAATTTAACTATGCTGGAATGGGATCCTGGATTCTTCTCCTTCAGAGTGACATGTACAGCTTCAGAGGTGCTCATGTAGCTAATGTTATAAGTTTTGGAGTTGCTGAACGCAATGCGAAGGACGGTCAACTTGATGGCCGTAATTTAAAAAGCGGCAGAGTGACCGAAAAAACGCAGTCCTGAATCCCATGTAGGTAGTTTACTCTTATTGCAACAGTAGTGGGCCCATAGCTCTAGTACTTTCCTAAGCCCAGGACGATGTTCGCAGTGCGCATTAGTGGTTTTAAGGCATATGTGTCATGACAGTAATAGTAAGCATATTATATTGAAACACGTCTGAATCTCCAGTTCTAAACAAGCTCACGATGCCATGCCAAGCAAGGATTTTGCCATGCCATGTCGTTGCATGAATCGTGACTTTTATCAATTACACGCATAAAAAATGTGGTAGCGGTAGTTTAAAGATCAAGGACCTTGCCGGGAACATGTCTGCGCGTTTCAAATGTGTAGCTCCAATTGTCACTAAAAAGTTTCCCGTAGTCCGGCGGCTTTATAAATTTCCTACAAAAGCATGAGCTGCACAGAAGTGACTGCAACAACGAGCATTCCAGAACGGTTTATAGATTATCGCTCAGTTGGTATCTCAATTACATCAACTCTGTCCAGCGGTCATCACATGTGCCACAAGGAGTAGCAACTTTGGAGGCACAGGAAATCGCTGGAACATGAGAGCACCGGAACCAGACTTCACCCACCGATCTGACTTCCTTTCGTATAACCGCCTAAACGTTTAATTGGCATCGGTTGCCCATCTCCAAATCAGTCTGCAATTTGGCTCATAGCCGTTCGAGATAAACTGCATCGTAGATCCACATCTCTGCGCCTCCGTATACACGACTTTCTGCCTCCTTACTTTGTATAGTACAGCCTGGTATAGCCAGTAGTTGACTTTTCCACCCTTTCGACTTGGCCATATCCTCACGCAAAGTCACCAACATCTAGAAACGTTATCGTATAATTACTTGAACCAATCCGGTAAGTGTCGTAAAGCTGGATAGATCGAGCTCGCGGTAAATTACTGTACCCTCAAGGTACAGCAGTCAAATCAAAGGTAGAAAGTCGAAGAACCATCTGTAAGTGTCAGCCTTGACGATGTTTGGGTAACGAAAGCAAAACAATTATACACGTCAAATCCTGTCGTATATAATGAAAAAGGGCACTGGATAGCCCCTGTGAAAGCGTCGTATCTTTTTTAAAACCTGGACGCTAATCAAACGCTGCAATTGAGCGAAAGGAAGTCGCATAGAATACTATTTTCCCTTCATTACATAAGCATGGTGAATGTTTACACCTAATTTTGTGCTTACACTCCTGGACATCGGTTTATTATTTTAAGCACGGCTGATGGTATCCAGACTATCTTTTCGTTAACTGCTGACAGTTTCCGTCCCGCTGTACCTGCGGTTTTCTCTCAGAGGGAATCATTAGCCAGAGCAACCGTGGCAGTACGGACAAAAATTGTTCAACAACCCGTAATTTACCGTTGCCGCTATTGAACAATGATGTTTGTGTCTTAGCAAACGGCGACATAAAGATTGAGGAAGTTCCGACAGTGTTAGCGGAATACACAAGACAATAATTTTTGATAAATTATTTTACGCCGTGTTTTATGATGTTCATGTGAAGCTTTAGGTAAATGACTAACTCTTCTTGTCCATCACAACGAGATTTTTTCTATTTCGAGAATCATACGTTCAATATAATTTAGACCTACATAAAGGGTGCATCAATGCCCATCACTCGCACAGCATCTGTCAGAAAATCGGATTGTGTGAGGAATTGTTGACTACCGCGCTTCTTATGAGCTGTTCAATCTACAGTACTCATCTAATGTATGTCGTACCCCTACTGCATCGTTACAATGATACTCCAAAAAGATTTGATATTACAAAAGGAAGTTGAGGTATGGATATTTATGCTCTATGGGATCCAAATTACGATCATTGCTTCTGTTATGCTCGAATAGAATTTCGATTTCCGAGATCGAAATCACGATCATATAGACATCATCTATACACTTCGTGCAGAACGTCCTCTACGATTATAGAATTACATTGTCAAAATGAACAGGTTACACATTTTCTGAACAAATTGGGCACTAAGATCTCATCATCAACTTAACGCCTTTTCCTGGATTGTTGGTAAAGAAACGCGAGGTGTCTCATTTATGGTGCATCCTCCATACCATGAAGTCAAAGTTATTCTGGCTATACGCGGTATCACTCTTGATCGTCAATTTTCCAGTTGTCTATGCATGGATGAGTGGCGGCTGCCTATTGTGACATTTACTTGCAACCAGTGCCTGTTTAAAATGATCGAGCTGATACAGTTTCGGTGTGGCTACTGACGTCGAATAGAGAAATGATTGGATGAGACCAAAATGTCACTTGCACTGAGTGCTCTCTCTGTGAAAGTCACAACATCAAGCGAAGGCTGTCAATAGTTTGCTCGGTCACTTTGATATTAGCTCGCTTTCAATCACATGGAACTCTTCTTCGATCGCTTTAACCTGGAAAAACAGGTGACGTTCTACCTGTCGTACCATAGCAACAAGATCAACCAATACATTCATCTTGTCTGCATCTGGCCCGTTTTCGTGTCTGGACTTGTGCTTCTCGCGAACACGCAGCCTCTTATTGAGTTGCCGCAGTTTTTGAATTCACTACCCTTCGGGCAGTACATGATCCCCAACTATTCGGCTGTCGTGGTAAGCATCTACATGTTCTGGTACATCGCTTTGGACAGGGTTGCCGGCACATTTGGAGCAATTATTGTCTTTCTTTGTTATGTACTTGCCAACTTCTTGGTCGTCGAAGGTGTAACTTTTATGAAAGCGAGCATTGCGCATGTGGCGCTAGCCATTATAGTTTTGGGATTCATTCTGCAGTTTATTGGTCACGGCGTATTCGAGCATCGTAAACCGGCGCTTTTTGACGGTCCAGGCCAGGCGCTTATCACGGCTCCAATGTTTGTGCTGCTTGAAATCATGTTCTCGTTAGGCTACCGTCCAGAACTCCACCAGCGCATCGTGAAGCAAATGCAAAAGAATATCAGGAACTCGAGCTCTCTCAAGACGATCTAGAATAGCAACTTAGAAGTTTGCAAAGCAGAAGTAAACTTTTAAGTATCACTGTCTTTTTCAAATTTGATGAATTATCTTTCTAGCGATTGAAATATGTATGTTAAATGCACACCAAATTTTCGTGTCGCAATTACTAAATTAAATCGAATTTAGTTAGTGTTGTACCTTAATTGAAGTGTTTTAAATCCATTTTTTTATCGTAAAGGTGAGTCACATGTTGTACTGTACACTCAACTAACACAAATAGTACTTTTCCCCCGGACAATCACCAAGATGATGTAATTGTAATGTGGTGGTACTTGTATAGGTATAATATTCCTTTCTGGAAGATTCGCGATAAATGTGAGCTATCCGCGTCACATCAAGTAAGATAGATAGTTTAAGCATTAGATATGGCACTTTTAGTAAAGTTTTTTACCGAAATAATTTTAAATTTATTTTAGTCTTGAAATAGCAAGGCAACCAAGGAAACTGGTTATTGAAGAGCCTTCCGGTTTTGCTACTGGATAGAGCGTTCAAGCTCAATATCTGTGCGTTGTTTACGCGAAACCTTAAGGTCAAAGTTACGTACCCATCTTTGCCAGGAAGTATAAGCGCTTTGACGCAGGCACGAAGCTACGATAGCTCCTGTGCAAAACATGAGATCTTTGAATAAGTTCGGTCATGTTGCTGCTTAGTGCCGTGAGTTTAATTCGAAGCGGTAGTAAATCGCAATATTATAATGAGGCAGAAAGTATAGATCGTAACGTGTGATCTCCAGAGTGTAGCTTGTCTGATTATCGAGTCTGACCTCTTCGTGGAGTTTGCTAATCCAAGTAGAGATCCTTAAAGACGAAGAACAACCTGTCTATTACTTGGAAGCAGGTGTCGGGGGAAAAAATCTAATTGAAGGGAAACTCGCCTGTCTCACTGAGAATAAATTGCCTGTTGTCATCCGCAGAGTCTAAGCACACGTGACGTATTGATGCTGAGGAGACGAGACAACTCCCGATGGCTTCAATTCTCGAAACAGCTGGCACTAGTATGTTCAGTGGTTAGATGAAGTTTCTGCGCAGATGGGGCTGAGCAGCTAGATGTCGACACGGCGTTTTTAAACAGTGACCTCAAGGAAGAGGTCTTTATTGAAACGCCACATGGTATTGCCAACGGCACCACCATGATGTGCGAGCTTAAAAGGCGATCTAAGATCTCAGACAGGCCTCAAGCGCATGGACAAGACGATTCATGCTGCACTCCTGGTCTTGGGATTTTGAAGTTGTAAAAGTGGATCAGTACGCCTACATCAAGGTTGAGAACGGCAAATACGTCTACGTGTGCCTCGACGAACAAGGAAATCGAGGATGTGAACCGGCACTCCAGAAATCGCTCAAGATAAAGAAGCTAGGCACGGCCAAATTTATTCTTGGTGTGGTGATCGATCATGACCGCAATGGCCGCACACTTTTCATTCGACAGACTCGATATTTTGACGACGTGGCAAGTTGGTTCGAACAGCAAGAAACCAAGGCAGTGACGAACCGTGTGAGACAAGTCGTTTCGTTCCAACGCAGTGTCTAACGAACACGCCAGCCTCGTTGAGGCAATAATCGATTGGAATTGTAAATGTTCTCAATCTTAGTAGGGGAGAGTGTAACGGGGTCACACATACCCTGCTAACAGGGGTGTGTGTCACACCAGAGGGCATGGTGTGGCCACATCCAAATAAGAATACGGTACGGGGCTGTATAGCCAGTAGTTATACATGTATTTGAATTTTGCCATACATATTTAATAAAATCTATGCATTTAAAATTAGGCGGCTTTGCCGCAGATGGAAATAAATCAGATCAGTTTTGACTCAAACGGAATAATTAGTTAGCCTTGGGTTAATGCAATATTTACCCTTGGGGTAAGCGGATTGCGATCCGCTAAACTCGTACTTGTTTTAAGTATAGATCGAAAGGTCGGTACCCTAACTTACGCTTTCTCTAAGCGCAAAGCTACGCAGCCCCGCAGCACTAGGCAGCACTTGTAGCCAATATGCACTTGAGTCGTTTAGACCGATCCTCTGTGAGAATGGAATACTTTTCCTCTTTGCCCCAGGGCATGCAGGACGGGCATGAAAAGCTGATGTCCTTACTTGGCCCTAAAAGCGTGCAACACCTTGCTGCGCAAGGCCCTGAGGCAATCGCTGCGCGTCTTGAGGC